AGCAGCACTACAAAGGAAGCAATTCACATCAGCAAGGAAACCTCCAAACTGCAACTGCAGAGCTGCCCTGGCCACAGCACAGGGTGTCTGCAGGGGAAGCCACTCTCCAGGCAAGCAGCCACAGCTGCAAAGACATTTATTCCTGAGGGTTGCCAGCTAATCCCTGGTGGATACAGAGAGGGGCAGATGCAGTTCTGGGGTACAGTGGGGTGGTTCTGCAAAAGCAGCAAGAGCACACGAGGTAAAGCCAGGAGGGACAGCCAGCCCCAAAACTGGCCTGCTGGGTTTCACCACAGGGTAACAGCTAAGAAAACGTCAAGGAAAAGAGCTACAACAATTAAAGCCCTTCTGGCACATCCACCAGGACAGGAGCAACTGCTACAAACCCTAAAGAGACATCACTGCCAGGACTGCAGAAATCAAGGACAAATCCAGTTACAGCAGTTAAACCACCCTTTGTGCTCTGCTGGTTACAGACCCTGTCGGTTTTGGTTGATTTTAGATCATTATTTGCCGTTATGATCATCTCAAAGCTGCTATTTCTGGCATTCGTGGAATCACAGGATGGTTTGGGCTGGCAGGGATGTTAAAGCTCATCTTGTTCCACCCCCTGCCACGGGCAGGGACACCTTCCACCAGCCCAGGTGGCTCCAAGCCCCAGCCAACCCAACACTTCCAGGGATCCAGGGGCAGCCACAGCTTCCCTGGGCAACCCTCACAGGGAACAGTTCCTTCCCAATATCCCATCTAACCCTGCCCTCTGGCAGAGGGAAGCCATTCCCCCTTGTCCTGCCACTCCAGGCCCTTGGAAATAGTCTCTCTGCACCTTTCTTGGAGGTTCCCTTCAGGCACTGCCAATTCCTTTGTTGCTATTGTGTTCACTTTTAAAAAAAAAAACAATATTCCTATCAAGCTGAGCTCTTTCAAAACTCAAAACTGGCCATCTTTTTAATAGCTTTTGGCAGAGTTATTAAACTGGAGAGCTCCATTCTTGGAGGAGGATGACTCTGCAGTGCCAGATTAATAACAACTTGAGTGCCTTGATTTATCAGGAAAGCATCAACTCTTACAGGGTAAACACATTTTGCACTGGAGTGCTCACTGCTTCAACACAGTATTCCACATTTTTTCTTCTCTCCTCTGATGTAAACATGGACAAAGACTGGAGATAAAAATGACACTTATTAATGTAGCTCAACGGACTGATATTCAAGCGTGGAAGGCACCAAGCCATCAGGGACAGGTTTTTTTTCCTCTGCAGAATTTTTCTCCTGGGAGAGCGATCCAGTGAAGGTCTCAACACTTCTGCCTGGCTTTTATTACTTGAACCTGCTTTTTTTCTTTATAACCATAAAGGCAAACGGGGGGATTGGGGATTAAAGACTGAGAAGCACCTAATTTTGAGAGACTGAAGAAGTGGCAGCGTTTTATTGAGCACTGAACTTCTCTTTTCAATTAAAATTCCCCACAGACCCACTCGATTCAGCTGGATTTGGCATATTTTAGCTTAGGGAAGTGTGAGAGGGATCTGTTGTTCCAACCTGGCCTGCTTAAACTGCCTGACTTTGAACACTTCATTCAGCACGAGGGTTTGCATCAGACACTCGTGGTCAGGCAGCCTAAGGTGTGCATTTCCAGCTCTATAAATACCTTGCATTAAACATCCACGTGCTCTCTGAGGAGGGGATGTGGCAGGTTAATTCCCCTGGAAGGCAAATTCACCCTTGCAACTGCGAGCAGGACGCTGGGACAAGCACTGGGAGCTTCCAAATTCACTGCAGGTCTTCTGCTTATTTTATGATCAGCTTTTGGACATCCCTTGCGTTTGACATCACCTGCCCCACCCAACGGCCAGAAGAGAACCCACTTCAATGCTTTTTTCACGCAGTGATATTCAGGAGCACAGGCTAATCCCCTGCCTGCTGCTTTTGCGCAGGAGCTCTAGGGCAGGGCTTTGGATCAGGCAAAGCACAGGGACACTAAATCACAGAATATATACAGCTGGAAGGGATCCATCCTATAATCAAGTTAAAATTCTGGCCCTGCACAGACAGCCCAACAATCCCACCCTGTCCCTGAGAGCTTTGTCCAAACCCTCTTGGAGCTCTGGCAGCCTTGGGGCTGTGCCCACTGCCCTGGGGAGCCTGTTCAGTGCCAACCACCCTCTGGGGGAAGAACCTTTCCCTGAGATCCAACCTGACCCTGCCCTGACACAGCTCCAGCCATTCCCTTGGATCCTGGTTCGCAGCTGCCCTCACAACGGCGTGAGCTGTGCTCCTTCTAAACAAACAGAACAACCAACTGAGTTCAGATCATCATTTCACCCAATTCCTGGGCTTTTCACACACAAAAAGGGCTCCAGTTGATTGTGCAGACAAACACAAACGGGGTATTGTTTAGCTTCTTAGGGAACAGTTGGACTGAACTTCTACCTCTCGCTCAAGCAGCTCACACTGCACGGTACCTATTTCAGTTTCCGAAACCCAAATCAGAAGATCACAAGAAGCTTCACTTCACTTGGAAGTAAACCAACACCTGTCCTCCTCCAAAAGCTGTCAGGGGCACTCAGCTTTCTAAAGGCTTTACTTACTTGTACTTTAGAAGCAGCCACTGAACAAACCACAGTCCTACAAGGATCATGCCGTTGATTTCACAAATAGAAAAAGCCCATTGCACCCGATCAAAGCGATCAAAAAATGCATCTGGGAGGGGAGGCTGCACCTCCTTGGGAGGCACTCGTTCGTGAACGACTGAGATAGTCACTGTGGTGAAGACAAAACAAGAAAGTGCATAAATAAAAGCCAGGAAAGTCTTGCCCCACTCCATGGGGTACTGCGAGCGCTCCGGCTCTGGCATGGGGATCTTGATCATCTCCTTCTTGAACCCGTTTGGCACCCCGTTGAGCTTGGCCTTGCTGCCGAAGCCGTTCTCGCCGCCGCCGCCGCCGCGGACGTGCCCGTTGGCGTGGCCATTTTTGTGAGCCTCCATGTGGTGAGCCATTTTCAGAGTCTCAATCATGTGCAAGAGCCGCTGGCCGCTGTCGGAAGACACCCGGGAGAGAGGCGTCCTCTTGAAGTCCTCCTCCGTCAGGTTGATGAGGTCGCGCCCGGTGAAGCTCCTCAGGGGCTCGCAGTACTCGGGCACCGCATTCTCCGTCAGCCAGCTGGTCACCTCCTCGGGCGACCACAGCACCACCTCTTTCATCTCGCCAGGCAGCCGGGGCGCCGTCTGGCATGGATCTCAAACGGGGCAGCCCTCCCCGCCGCTCCGGCGCGCTGGGAAGCTCCTCCTCGGCTTCATGGTGTCCCGGGAAGCGGTGTGGCCCGAGGCGGGTGCCCGTCTCCAACCCGCCGGCAGGAGCATCCGGGCACCGGGGCACAGCATAGGAGTCGTTTCACTTCATATTCGCGTTGGCATTCTTCTTCCTGGGGAGGAGAGACACCCAAAACCGCTCGTTAGGACAGCAGTTCAGCAACAAACAAAAATTTCTGCAGAAGAACATCCAAGATTCTGCATGGGAAAAGACCAACTCGTTTGAGTTCCAGCCTTGGACACACAGCACTGTCCTTCCCAGGCTTGCTGCTGATTCCTTAAGAGCTTTAACACCACTTTGCAGCTGTGGGAAGAAACCTGCCTGCCCTGTAGTTGTTGTATTTCCCACTGCTATGGTCCATCACCAGCACCCAAACTCCTCTTACAATCCTCATACTCGTGGATTTAAGGATCTACAGAGGGAATGCTCAGAAGCCTTTTCTCCCCCTCACAGATTGGTACCTCGATGCAATGTTTCGCACTAGTGATTGAATACGAAGCCTGGTTTTTGTTCTGCAAGGTAAAACCCACAGAATCCCAGAATGGTTTGGGCTGGAGAGGACCTTACAGACCATCTCATTTTCCCACCCACTGCCATGGGCAGGGACACCTTCCACTAGACTAGGTTTGCTCCAAGCCCCGTCCAACCTGGCCTTGAATGCTTCCAGGTGCCATATCTGATGTGCCAGGTCACCAATACCCAAAAAAGGATGCAAGGATCTACTCTCTCTGCCAAAACACCAGCAGGAAAATCCCATGTCCAAACAGATTAGCCTAAAAATAAAGCATTTAGGTTTGCAGGTGTTTAGCAGCTCTTTGAGGTAAATTTTACTGTTTCCATGGTATACTGCTACAAAGAAAAGAATTGTTTTCTATCAGCTAAAAAAAGGAACCAAATGTTACTTCCCGAATTTTTGAGGCACAAGCAGCAAAATCCCAGATCTAAGGTATTTATTCAGCCAACCAACAAAAACCAACCAACAAAAACTGGTCCTCCCCAGAGCAAAGAGAAGAAACCAGTGAACCCCCTGTCTCCAACCTGCCATCCCATGGACTACATGTGAGAAAGAAACTAACAGCATGGGGGAAAAAAAAAACAAAACAAACAAAGTATTTTGAAAAGTCACATCAAGCCTTTATCAGCTTCAAGAATATTTTTAGCCTCTTGCAGGCTACCAAGTGCTTGTGTTTGACTGCAGGGAGCAAAGCTGTGACTGAGAAAAACCAAAATAATTTACCCTACTGACAAGATTGGAGGTAAAGTGGTTCAGAAGAGATACAGAGCTTTACCCCTGCACAAACATGACCACAACTGCACACCAATGTATTTTCTGACCTGTTCCCTCCTAAACTCAGCAGGAAACGCAGGGTGCAGTTTTCCATCTGTTTTTCCCTAGAATCAACCACGATGGTTGAGAAAATAAAGAGCTTTAGAGGAAGGACTGGTAGTACTTTGAACAGGGCACCTCTCCCTGGCCTGGACATGTTTAAATCCACAAAGCAAACAAGGGATGGAGATGACTCTTGCACCTTGTGAATATCTGTGTTGTTTTAAAACAGAAGATATAGCTCTATTTATTTCCCTCAGTACCAAGGAAGGCTTTCAGCCACAGATTGCTTCATTATTCAGGTTGTGTTTAGCAAATCAGTATTTAGTTACAGAGCTCTGAACATGGAAACAGGGCTGAATTATGCATGGTAACCCACATTAGAAGCTCCTACAAGGCTGGCACTGAAGGAGAGCAGCTCAGCTCTCCACCTGCCCATCTCCGTGTGCTCGCCGTACTCGTGGTGTCCCAGGGCACCAAAATTCCCAACTAAAAGACTTCTCCATGGGCTTCTTCTTTCCAAGGATGACGCCTTACAAAATGCTGTTAAAGCCCAAGTTATTTATTTTTTTTTAATGCTGTTACAGCACCTGGGCTGCTGGTCTGGCAGCAGGGCCTCAGCTTCCTGCGCTGTTCCACGGCGACAGAGCTGCCTCTCCAAGTTCTGTGGTGCAAATCCAGCGTGGCTTTGGGGCTGTCACGGCACCACGAGGGGGAGCAATATCAAACTTTTTCAGTTCTAATCGCTGGAGTGAAACTGAATCCCAGTTTCCAGGCAAACCCCGAACCATTATCCTCCCAACACACCGGCCTTCTGTCCACTCCCTGACAACATTCTTAAGGACTCACAATCCCGAAAGATACAGGGCCAAGGGTTGCATTCATCACTGTTTAGGAGCCTGTAGCCAACCTTCAAATTACATCTCAACAGCCAGGAAAGGTTTAGACTGGATAACAGGAAAAATTTCTTCCCTGAAAGGCTTGTCCAGCCCTGGTGGCATTAAAAGACGTGTTGATGTGGCACGTGGGGACTGTGCTTTAAACTCCCCCCCAGCGATGTTATTTAAGGTACCAAACAGGAGAATAAAGACTGCTTGACTGCAATTTCTGTAACTTTGCGGATTATGAAACATAAATCTACCTCCTAAAAGTCTTAGCTGGTTTTAAAAACAAGAAATCCCACGTCGCAAACAGAGGCACAGATATCCAGACCACCTCGTCCTGGATGGACGAGCAAAGAGGATGGTGTGGGGTTCACCAGGGAGCTGCTGAGCAGAAAAGTTCAGTCCTCGTGGCTGACATTTCTGGGAGCAAGTGCAGGTGCAATCCCAGCCCGCTGCTCTCACACCACCAGCGTGTAAATCACTATCAAGCACCTCCTGTAAAGGCAGAGTAACTGATACTCACGGGAGGAAGGCTCAGAGGAAACACAATACTCTGCTAAGGACACAGGCCATGGAGTTGGTTTCATTGAGAGTTAAAATGAGGAAAACCAAGTGGAATTTCTAACATCACCTACCCTTCAAACCCCTGTTTCACAGCCTGTCTAAGGGAAGAGGAATAGGTAAAAAAGCTTCTTTACTAACACCTTCCAGCTTGTCACATTAAAAATGCCTCGTTCCCTGTGGTGTATCTGTGAAAGCTTCGTCAGGTAAGCTTTGCAGAAACTGTACAGGAGAGTAACAACCCTCACTGACCCCCTTTTTCCCACAAAAGGTCTCATCCTCTCCAAAAAAGGTGGGAACCAGCATCAGCTGCTGCCAGGCCACGTCCATGGGCTCAGCTCCATCCCACGAGGATGGGCACACACAAGGCTCCCCAGCTCTCACATGAGCTCTTTAGGCTGGGCCAGGCTACTGAAACACTCCCTCCATTTGCAGCAGACATGGTTCATTAAGGAATTATAAATAACAATGTGATCATCACCATAATGCCAACTGCACTCTGATAATGATGCCGAGTAAAACCGGTATCTCAAAATACCCGGCACAAGACCCAGCAGGATGAAACAACCTCGGCAAGGGCTCCAGGCCTCACCTCCTCGTGTTTACATGACCTTTTTCCCCCCCTGTTCCCAGCAAACACTGAAGTGCTAACTCCAAACATGGGGAGTCATTGCCACCACCAACCACTTCAATCCACACGCGTGGGGTTCTAACGCTGCGACCACAGACACCCCTGCAGATGGAACAAGTATTTGAGAGGGCACTATTACAGCCTTGGTTATCAAGACCTGTTCTCTCCTGCACCTGCTTTGCAGAGATGTTGTTGGGCACAAGTACTGAGTGTGGGAGCAACCAACTCATTGGTTAAAGGACAAGATAATCAGCCACAAAATCATCAGCTGGTTACACCTCCACACTTCGAATCATGGAATGGGTTTGGGGTGGAAGGGACCTTAGAGATCGTCTTATTCCAACTCCCTGCCATGGGCAGGGACACCTTCCACCAGCCCAGGTTGCTCCAAGCCCCGTCCAACCTGGCCTTGGACAACTTCCAGGGATCCAGGGGCAGCCGCAGCTTCTCTGGGCAACCTGTGCCAGGGCCTGCCCATCCTCACAGACAGCAATTCATCCCCACTGTTCCACCTATCCCTGCCCTCTGGCAGTGGGAAGCCATTCCCTGTGTCCTGTCCCTCAATCCCTTATCCCAAGTTCCTCTCCAGCTCTCCTGGAGCCCCTTTAGGTCCTTAAAGGGGCTCTCAGGTCTCTCTGGATCCTTCTCTTCCCCAGGTGAGCACCCCCAGCTCCCCCAGCCTGGCTCCAGAGCAGAGGAGCTCCAGCCCTCAGAGCATCTCTGTGGCCTCCTCTGGATCAGCTCCAAGAGGTCTTTGTCTTTCCTGTGCTAAGGACAAAACCCAGGTCTGGGGTCTTCTTGCAAGCAGAAAGCATTAAGTCTTGCAATTAACTACTGATAAGAGAAAACCACATTCAGCAGCAAAGAAAAAAGACCCCCCAAACCAGTTGGCCCATCCCCAAACTCCTCCTAAAACACTTTGAAACTCGACCGAAGACAACCAAAGTCCTCCCAAATCGAATCACGCCTTCCTTTTACTCGCTAAGCTTTGCTGCCAAGGCAACAGTCACTATAGAAATCAGTAAAATACTCAGCCATTTCAGCAACTCCTCACCAGCAGCCAGGGAGATTTTCCAATCCTTTCAGAGGCAGTGGGTGTGTTCCACTTGCAACCTCGAGTGCCCTTCCCAAACACCCCAGGGAAGTCGAGTGAACAAGGAGAGTTCACACCAGCGAGGTCCAGGGGTAAGCACAGATGGGGAACACAACAGTGACCTTTTTCGTGCCTTGGAAAGCCAGCTCTGAGATTTGCACCGATTGTATGCGCACACAAGTAACAACCAGGAGAAATCCAACCGCTGTAAGGATTGGAGGACTTAATGTTTTATAAACCAACCCACAAGGGAACTCCCTGACCCCACACCGGTGAGCAGGAGTCACACAGGAGCTCTTGTCCTGCCTTTTTAGAGCACAAGAACTGTTAACAGCAGGATCTGAGTCACTGCTACACTCACCTCCCTCCACAGGCATTTTATCATCACCAACAATAACACTGACACCTCAATAACTGGACATCCTGTCCTGGACAAGCACCTCTGCACGCCAGTGTGCAAGGAGAGGGCGATGCCTGCCACAAATCATGTGCTGGACAGCACTAACAAGCTCTCAAGAGATGTTTCCCTCTCTCCAGGGCAGCTTTGCCACCAAACCAGGATCAACCCCTTGCAAGAGGCTGCACCACGACCAAGCAAGGGACTGATTTTGTACCG